TCGAAAAGTCAAGGGGAGTCAACGTATAATAAATATACATAAAATAAGAAAATTTATCTAGCAAAATAGTTTAATTTCCGGTGAAGGGGTGTCGCTTGACACCCTTTGCTTCAATGTGGCTCCGCCACTGATTATATCTACTGGAAAAAAGTAGAAAATCATGTAAGATAATATTAAAGAAAAGGTTCATATATCTCCTGAACTATATGTCAGAATTATTCAATGTCTTGTTTTACAAAAAAAAATCTTAGAGGTTGATATCTACTTTCAATGGTCATGGTTCTTTCTTTAAAATAACCTTATCGCAGCCAGGAGCTCTCATTTCTCTCCCTATTTAACTAATTAATGGGATCTAGATAAAGGCACCAAAAACTCAATTAAAAATATTTATAAGATCTGAAAATATAAAATAGGATTTGGATAAAGAGAAAAGTATAGAAGAAATTGATACATTTACCAAAAAGATGAATTTTAGTGTTGCTTTATCCCTCTACTTTTCTGAAATGATTCAACTATCACAATAGAGTTTAACCACCACGTTCAGGATGGATTGGTGTGGATAGTAAAAATATATTATCCCAATTTGTAAAAAGTATATTGCCCGTGCAATATCAGGGCTGCAACAAACTAAAATAGTGAATGGGGATTCAAAGAACAGTTTGAAAATAGATGTGATTTTATTTTTCTCAGATATATAGAAGATCTTATCAGCAAGAGCAAGGAGAAGATAATAGCAGAGTGATAAGTAATATGAGAATATCTTTCGTCGCACGTCCATAATCTAGAGCTATTTATGTTACGAAAGATTTACTATAAAACTTTTCTATACTTTATTAGAATTGTCTTGTTATACTAACAAAGTTATTTTTAATTATAACATGCATGCAAGACACAAAATAATTATGAGACCATGACCATAATTCTAACATTTATAAATATTGAATTGTATAAATCAGAAACAATTGATAATTAAAGAATAAGTAAAGGAATTAAGTAGAACCTGATTTTTCACTTTCTTCTTCTTCTTCTTAATCCATTACTTTGATGCTGTCATTTATGCCATATGCTTTTTAGCCATGTCCCTTGACCATTAATATACGGATGCACCGGTGAAGATTTGAGAACTAAAGAGCTAAGAGCCTATCTATCTCTTAGTGGTTAGTCTAATCAACACACGTATTTTTATGAATACTTTAGAAACAATTTCATGGCTTTGTTTTTCATGATATTTTTATTCATGTGTCGTCTTTGATCTTTTGATGTCCACTTTCACTTCTTCCTTCTCAGCCTCGAACGATTGGCTTTTAAAACATTTACCTCTGGCGTTGGCGTCTCCTTCCAATCAACGTCAGATTAACAATTAAAGTTGAGACATAGCTCTCTTAAGAAGACACGGTTTACTCCATGTATAGTGATTATAAAATATAAATCAGACTTGAGAAGACAGTAGCTTAAAAAAAAGACTTGAAAAGATAGCTTTTGAATGAATGGTTGTGACTTTTAGCAAAAGAGTACCAAACGTTGGGTGGGCGGTTTATACTCATAGTTTTTTGTAATTATGGTATTTAATTTTTAGAAGAGTAAATTGGTAATTTAATTTTTTAGTTTAGAGCTTACCACTTTTAATATAATATATAAATAAATAGAAAGATAAATATAGATAATTTATAATTTCTCATGGACGTAGTTCGAATTATAATTTATTGATCACCAAATATTCATTCAGAGTTAAATGTGTCTGGAATAGTAATGCATTGAATGGCATAACGAATATAAAAGGTCAAAGACGAAGGCCACATATGTTATGTTTGTCCAAATTTGACCCTCATTTTTTGGATGATCAAAAGCAGCAAAAAATTTAATAGCCAAAATGAAAAGGCACCAGCATAGGAAAGCCTATGTCTCGCAAATAAGGAAATAGCAATTACAATGATACCGATAAGAGGCAAGATGAACTGCACTCTGCACACAAAGGAAAGCAATCCTCAGTAATTAATACTAGTAATTAAGAAAGAATGATTAATTTGGCACATAATGTATCCACCAACGTCTTAATTTGCATTTGCATATCAACCAAGACATGAGCAGGAACTGCAACCAATACCTTGTTTCTTACTCTATTTTTAGAAAAAACACATTATACTACATGCCAATTTTGTTTTTCTGCACATTTGCAACTTTGTATTTCAGTTTTGATTGATACCCTTGGTTCAGGATTCAGAGTAACTATGAAGAGATTCAAGAAAACCTCCAATGATCAGCTAGTTTCTTCTGATCGAGAATCCAGTGTCGTTCTAAAGATTGCAGAATCGAAATGGGGTCTCAATCCTATGACTCTTATGGCTTTTTTCGTCGTTTGTTTGATGGTTCTGACTCTTGTATTATCAGTTGCCATAGTTTTTGGGAACTTACCTTCTGATTGCTTGTGGACTTTGGCTGAAGCAAGATTTTTTGATGTTAAACCTTCAAAAGGTACTTCGTTTCCTCTTTATTTTTCCATCATCCTTACCTTTTTGATTCACTTATATTACTAGTAGTAAATAAACTTACTCTATTCTTCTTCTTTTTTCCAGCCACAGTTTCTGAAGATGATATTCCTCGGCCAGTGATAGTGCAAAAAGATAAACTACTAGGTGGCCTTCTTCCTTCTGGATTTGATGAAACATCTTGTCTGAGTAGGTATGAATCACTCTTATATATCAAAGGTCTGCGCCATAAGCCTTCGTCTTATCTTATCTCGAGGTTAAGAAGATATGAAGCACTTCACAAGCAATGCGGACCTTATACAGAATTATATAACAAAACTGTTGACCTTATAAAATCTGGTGATCAATACAGTACTGGTTCTTCAGTTTGTAATTATGTGATTTGGGTATCCTTTAGTGGTTTAGGGAACAGAATACTAACCTTAACTTCTGCTTTCCTTTACGCTCTTCTCACAAATAGAGTCCTTCTTGTTGATCCCCGAGTTAATTTACCTGACTTATTCTGTGAACCTTTTCCTCAAGTTTCTTGGTTGCTTCCCTCAGATTTTCCCATACTTGATCAGTTTAGTACCTTTAATCAGAAATCTCCACTTTCTTATGGTTATATGGTGAGAAATAATAAGTCTAGAATACATCCCTTCATGTACCTTCATTTAAATCATGACTATGATGCTCAAGATAAATTATTTTTCTGTGACACTGACCAAACTTTTCTCAAGAAAATCCCTTGGCTATTTGTGAAGTCAAATAACTATTATGTCCCTGCTCTTTTCTTGATCCCATCTTTTGAGCAAGAGTTAAACAATCTTTTTCCAGAGAAAGGAACTGTGTTCCACTTTTTAGGTAGGTACCTTTTTCATCCCACAAATTCTGTATGGGGGCTTATTACTGGGTACTATCAAGCTTATTTGGCCAATGCAGATGAAAAATTAGGGATTCAAATTAGAGTTTTTGATTTAGGTGTAGGTAATTTTAAGTATGTATTGGATCAGATTTTAGCTTGTACAACAAAGGAGAATCTACTGCCACGGGTTAACCTGAATGAGCCTATAGTCAATTCATCTGGCAAGACGAAGACTATAAGCGTATTGATGACATCTCTTAGTCCAAGATATTTCGAGGAGATTAGGAACATGTATTGGGAAAATCCTACTGTAACAGGAGAGATTGTTAGTGTTTGCCAGCCAAGTCATGAGGAGCATCAACAAACTGAGAAGCTGATGCACGATAGGAAGGCGTGGGCGGAGATGTATTTGCTGAGCTTAACTGACAAATTGGTTACAAGTGCATGGTCTACTTTTGGATATGTAGCTCAGGGTCTTGGAGGTTTGAAGCCCTGGATTTTGTACAAGTTTGAGAATGGGACAGTACATAATCCGCCTTGTTTTCGCGATATGTCTTTGGAGCCATGTTATCATTCCCCTCCGAATTATGACTGCAAAAAGAAAACAGGAAGTTATAACACAGGTAATGCTGTTCCTCATGTGAGACATTGTAAGGATATGAGCTGGGGTTTGAAGCTATTTGATCAGAATGGTGAATTGTAACATGGTAGAATAAGGGAAACACAATTGTTGCAGGACTAATAATTATAACTTTATTACAAGATTCTTTCATTGATACGATTCTTTTGATGACAGGCAATGATGCAACTTAGAGAGCAGAAGAGATAAAATCATACTTTTCAGTGTTTAATGAAAGTTAAACCATAAATTTCTGTTTATGTGTGGACTTTTATATTTTATTTAATGGTAAGTATTCGTACTTTTTTCTGCATCTTTGTATACTTTGCATTTCTCTGAGCAACTGGCAAAAACATAACATAACTGTTAATTCCAAATCCAACATACAGCAACACACAAACCATAATACTCCTCAACTCCCAATTGCACTCCCCTTTAATTAGTATAAGACATCAAGAATTGCAAACAAGCATGCTTAGTTTACCAAGCCTTGGACTTAGAAGATGATGTTTTTATTTGAAATAAAGCCAGATCCTTATTTGGTAAAACTAGGATCTGGAAATGGTTATAAACAGGATCTTCACCCCCAGAACCAGAACTCGGAAAACAAACAAAATTGAAATAAAATAGATGAGCTCAACATCACAGAAGCAGTCATCAACTCGAGCTATGAAAATCTACCTTACCAACCGATTGGAGAGATGATCGATTGCCAAGGCACTCCTACTACTTGCGCGCGGCCTGGGCTTATCAAGGGATTAGGCCTAAATGTCTTTCTTTTTTCTTGAATACGAATGGATGGAAAAAGCGAGGCTCAACACAAATAAATAATATCACTATTACCTTAAATTCTAAATTAAGCAAATGATATAGGAGGACCTCCATCAATGGAATTTAAATAATAAGGTTATTAGCAAACTCTTTACTGTACGACAGACAATGGATTACACTCAATATTATCAGGATTTACGTCCTTATAGTTTTGTAGACACTTTGCTGCATTAGTATTGAAACAATGTACGTAACAAAACAATTTGTAAGCAAGAAAATGGAAGATTCTAAATATTATAATGAACTTTACTCTATCAGAATCGTGATATATTTTTGCAGTAATGTTTTTCAGTCGTGACATATGATCTTGGTCACTATTTTATCAATTCTCTGTTCATAAATTAAAACTAAACTACCGATATGTTTACACATCAAGAAACTTTATCGATCTCAATGTATATGGTATTGATGCCTGCAAGGCAACCAGTTATGTAAGGGAGGTTGTTGTTAGTCATCCGCCTGCTCGCAACAAATTTCAGCTTCTACCCTGTGCTAATAAAACAGCCAGCAGTTATTTGAATCCAACTAGCCAGTATCAGAATCTGAAAATTCCACTTCGCAAGCATCTTTCGGTTCCACGTCAGTCATAGAAGGTGGAACAAGATCGTTTCTTGGGCGATTTCTTCGCTTTCGTGTGGTTGCGTCCTGCAAAGAGATAGAACGTGGAAAGGATCGATGTTACGTAATTTTCAAAGAGGTCAAAAAGAAGATCGCTTACGGAAGAAACTGAAATAGCCTAGGGCCGAGTGCTTGCATGGGCTAGCCCAGAGCAAGTTTTAGGTACATTGTATCACTACCTTTGCGCTTGGCTGAGTGTGATCAGACTCCCTGGTCTGCCGGCTCAAATGTTCTGGCTCATTGGATCTCTCGCTCGAATGATCTGGTTCGCTTGACTGAGCTACCTTACTTCTCCTCAGCCAAACACTACCAAATGAGATTAATGCTGCCAGGAGCAGAAAGGGTCCAACCCTTGGATCACCACTGTAATCGTGAATTCTATTTAGGAAACTTTTGATCCTATGATTAAATCCTCCACTAGGGCCAACGGTTCCTTGAGACCAAGATGACCAACTGGAATCTGCATCCTCCGGAACCAATTCAGGAGTCCTTGTTTTCTGTAACAAAATGGTATAAAGATACAGAATTAGAGATGGAATCTAGAAAAGGGCTAAAGACAGCTTTCTGCAGTTATACATCCTTGCAATCAACATATGAATACTTGAATAACATGAGAAACCATTATCTCATAATGATATCGATATCTAATACATATTAAAAGCTACCACTCATCCCTCGTTGATTAAGTACCTTCCAGACTAGTATCCATAATTCCATTCAAGTGAGCGATAGATCAATATTACATAGAGATTAGTTGCAAAGAGTAAAAGAAATTGTGCAAGCACAAGTTCGGGTGAACCATCTTCAACCAACTGGCAACTGCTGTCATGAATAGGGCTTAAAATCTTGAAGGAGGGGTCATCATTTATAAGATCCATTTTTAGAACCTCTAAACTACCTTTGTCAATTAAAGCAAATAGGTTTCAACAGAGAGAATTTTGGAAATTAACTTACAAATGAAGGAAGACTCTTGGAGTCGCCATCTTTGATTATCTCAGAAATCCATTGTACAATCTGTAATTCCAATATACAATACATTAGATATTCAGGTATAATGATCATGAACATTCTCATACAAGTAGCTGGCTCAATACAAGAATGAAAGGTCCAACAAATCTCAGGATAGGCTATATTTTCCTATCTAGGTTATTTCCCATGTATGCTGATAATTGAGTCAAATACAGACAGGGCAAATGTTTCGAGAGCCAAGCGTTATTTGCTAATCTAGCATATTACTTGCATGTTCTACAAGGAGGGTTTTGACCATAAATGAGGCAGTCTTAGTAGATGGAAATGAGTGAATTGTGTTTGCATGTCCTAGTAATAAAGAGTTGTGCAAGAACAGAACTTCCAACAAGTTAATCCGGCTTCACAACACGTATTTTCCCTGATGAGGGACCTTGCTTAACTATCTAAAAGTGGTATCATGAATCAAACATGTGATCAATATCATCAATGAGGGAAAGGAAACGACCCTTTAGCTCCAACTTCCAAAATTAATTCGTCTCCTAAACGTGTCTACATAACCATGTACTTTTTGTTCAAAGAAAGAAAACCACTGGGAAAGGGATAGTTTAGGAGGGAAAAAATAGAAAGATAAATGCTCAATTAGAAGCAAATATCAAAGGACTGCCCGTCACTGTGTGGACCGAAGAGAACCATGGAAGGAGATTTAGAAATTGCAACCAGAAGTGGTTTTGCTTCCATCTCCTATCTTTCTCGTTCTACTTGTGTTTTTGCAATGGATTGAACTGAAATTCTTACAATTTGGAGGGACGAACCACCCGCTTGTGCACAAGCGAAGGCTGTCATAGATTGTCCAATATAAAGGCTGTATTCAACAGAAAAATAAATTGCACCACAGAACAGGGGAGACGATGTTTTGTTTACATAATTTGGTGTTGCTGTCATGGAACATTTAATAGATAAACTAACGAGTTTATACTCGATTACAGAAGAATGTGGAAATAGATCCATCATGTGACTTGCTATCAAAATTTAATGGAGCCTGTCAGTCTACTCACCTCTTCAATTTTATTAGAACCATTGTATTTTGCCACGAGCTGAGATGCAGGATCAGCTTCAACATTGTACAATGCTGAGTATCTGCTGGTTGGCTGCTTTTCGACATCCTCTGTACCATTCCTCTCATAGCGTACAATAAACAATTGTGCTATGTCTGTTATATCCCTCCTCGGCCCGCAGGTCTCATAACTATTTTCTGAATTAATGTAGAAGAAACAGAAACTCTGTACAAAAGGAGAAGCTATTAGCATTCAACGTGACAGCAAATCATAGTTTTGCTCAAAGAACAATCATCCAACATGATGGACCTCATGGGTTCCACAAAGTAACAAAATAATCAGCCAAATCTTACATGCTTAGATAATATAACTAAAGTCTATAATTAGAAGAATAATAGCATACAAGGGAAAGAAAGACAGTTATATGAATCACATCAAGTTCAGGGAGCATCTCTCAACTAGATTAAGGAACAAAAGGTTTTTCAAACCACAAGGATTCTTCAAGCTTTACCAAGGTTTGGATCCCAAAACCAACTAGAATTAGAGCGTACCAGCTAATGAATTAACTAAGACTCGATCTCAAATTAGTTGGAGCCGAGCTACATGAATCCTCTATATCCATTATGCTTTAATAGCTAAATAAAATGAAACCATCGTTACTGCAACTTCTCCAAAATTGTGCACAAGAATTTGTAAATCTACAGAAGTGCCACTAGAGCTGGAATTTTCAGGAAAAGGTGTAAAGAATCTGAGATGGAAGGTTGAATCGGCACAAACAAGTAACTAAAGATGCCTAGTTAAGTTATCTAAGATGAGAGGTTGTAGGAGTTTTTTTTTTTTTTATTACCTCCCTCCAAGAGCTCCCCACCTTGCTCTTGGGGTGACTCGAACTCACACCCTATTGGTTGGAAGTGGAGGGTGCTCACCACTAGAGCAACCCACACTTGTCAGGTTGTAGGAGTTTGATCTTCCCTCTAGACAATAAATTCTAAAAAAGCTCTGCATGCATGCTTTTCTGTAGTTTTTGATGGACTCTGTCAGTCTGCCAAAAGACAACTCCTACTGGTCATATTCACCACGAAATGGGTATGCCACTAAGCCAATGTCCCTCTAGACAATAAATTCTAAAAAAGCTCTACATGCATGCTTTTCTGTAGTTTTTCATGGACTCTGACAGTCTGTCAAACGACAACTACTGGTCGTGTTCACCACGAAATAGGTATGCTATTAATAGATTGATTTATAAAATAAAAAAGGGATGCTATTTATTGTGCAAAAAACTATTGGCGGTACAGAAAATGTAATTACACCACTATTTAACCAAAGCAATGCCAAAATTCAAGAAGAGGTGCTCACTTTCTGTGCTTCCCCATCAAGCCAGGTAAATGTCAGTCGTTTCTGTTTTAGTGCAAGCAGAGCTGGTGCAGATGATGGATCTTGATCCACTGCAGTCAATTCTCCATCATTTGAAAGAGTTTTTTGAACCCTGCGAACAGTCTTATGTGATAGGTAATTCACACCATCAGCTAATGCAACATACATTCATAGCAATCTAACATTTTATGCATGTAGCTTAATGTGAAAAAAGATTTGAAGCCATATCAATCAATGTATGTGGTAATAATGAGAAGTCTTTCAGGCCCGAGGAAAGTCTCTTCCTGCCCTGGAGGGCTGGAGCAATTTACCAGAAAAATGCATCCCAACGAATACATCTTAAGCTTTTATATAGGACAACTAAAAAGAGAAGGCATATGTAATATGCAGATGCAGACAAGTAGATGTCATTGTTGATAGATTATTGTAGGTGTTGTATATGAAGTGTTATCAATTCTAATTAATTTTTCATCTCAAAGTTATTAGATAGAAATGTTAAGGAAGAGCTAATCATTGGAGATGCACATGCTCTATGTCTTATGAGGTGATCCATAGCAAGCCAATTCAGATTTGGTATGACCCAGGATTCCAGGTAGCCTGGCATGGCATCAACTTCATAAAAGTGCATATGCTGACTAGGACTTGGTTATGTCAGGCTTGGGTCTTTCATTCGGGCCGTATTCGGGCACCCTGTGGACCAAAGTGCAAGTATATGAGTCCAGTGGCAAAACTGCTGAAATAGAGAGGGGCTTCATCAGATTTCTCTGATATTACTAGTGCCAAAATCTCTCTCCATCTCTTTCTCACACGGAGAAAGTCTACCCCCACCCCCCTCTTCCTCCTCTATCACATTATCCCACAGCATCTGCGGTTAATCTCTGTTCAGATTTTCTAAAACCAGATGAAAAGATAAACCAACTAAAAACTAATAGCCTGATTGGCCAAGCTTCTCAAAATCCAAAAGCAAAGGTACTTTTTTTTCAAAGTTGAAGTGTTTAGCCAAGCTTTTGGAAGAAAAAAAAGTGCTTTTGAGGAGAAGCAGAAAAAAATAGCTTCTCCCCAAAAGCACTTTTTTGAAAAGCACTTTTGAGAAGAATACAATTATAGCCTGTTTGGCCAAGCTTTTTTTTTGGGCCAAAAGTGCTTTTGGCTAAATGTTTGAGGTGTTTGACCAAGCTTTTAGAAGGAAAAAAAGTGCTTTTGAGGAGAAGCAGAAGCAGTTTTTGACTAAGTTGCTCGGATTCGGGTGCGGATCTAGAGGTCAGATCCTTCATGATCCAAATTTAAAGATTCGGGGGTACGGATCCAGGTACGGATACGGGTGTGAAGATTCGGCTAAAAAATAATTCAATTATTTAAAAATAGAGTTATAAAAATATGTCTAAATTATGAGACATTATGTGGAAAACTTACAAGGTATTCTGAGAAGGAGAAAATATTGAACAAGAGTAGAATTTTAGAAGGAGATAAAAGGAAAAGGACTGACATAGAAATTTATATATACAGGGTATTCCATTTTCTTCCATATCACCCTAGCTTTTGATTTGTTTTCAAAAATCATTGTATCTGTCCCAAATTTTTCCGTTGATTTTGGTCAAAGTACCCAAAATCGGTTGACCAGATCCGACACGGATCCCACACCCATACCCACACCCACGTCGTGTCGACACGGGTGCGGCACTGAAAGTGAAGAGTTCGAGCAACTTAGGTTTTTGAGAAGCAGAAAAATGTAGCTTCTCTCCAAAAGCACTTTTATGAGAAGCACTTTTGAGAAAAATACACTTAGAAATAATTTTCAAAAGCTTGGCCAAACACTAATTACTGCTCAAAAATGCTTTTCAAATTAATTAGCCAAACACAAACCGATTCTCACCAAAAGTATTTTTTTGAAAAAAGCACTTCTCAAAATAAGCAGATTTTAGAAGCTTGGCCAAACAGGATATTAGAAGTACTTTTTAAAAGCTTGGCCAAATACTAATTGCTGCTCAGAAGTGTTTTTCAAATTAATTAGTCAAACATAAACTGCTTCTCACCAAAAGTACTTTTGAGAAAAGCACTTCTCAAATAAGCTGATTTTTGAAGCTTGGCCAAACAGGCTATAAGACGGATAAGCCAAATGATAGTACAACAACAACAAACCTAGTGTAATCCTACATGTGGGTTCTGGGGAGGATAGTGTGTACGCAATCCTTACCCCTACCTTGAGAAAGACAGAAAGTAAAAAGGCTGAAGCCAAATGACAGTCTAAAGCTTTAATTAAGAAAAATGAACTAGGAAAAAGAGCTTACTTCACGCATTTCATTGAGCTCCTGGCTATACCTCCCAGCTAAAACAACACAATACCATACCCTCGTATCCTTTCCAGCACGTGAAAAGCCCCGCGCATCACAACCCAATTCCGTCGAAGTTACACTCCTCAATTGTGGAAGCACTGATGAAGTATGAAACAAAGACCAGCAAGATCCATGTTAATACTATTTCAGAAAAGAATGTAAGACGCAACTAGTAGAGGCACAATATTTTGAAGTCTTTTGCCATGTTTCAATATTGCATTCTACAGCACAAGAACCTGGCATCTTAATTTCTTGCTCCAGCTAAATCCGAGATCTCGAGACATATAAAAACAAATACAACCATCCTTGAATTGTGATCACAACACAAATTCTGGAATTCGTCTTTCCGCATATTGTCAACTGAAAACTAAGTTGCTCTGACACGGGTGCGGATCTAGAGGTCGGGATCATTCGAGATGTAAATTCTAAGATTCGGGGATATGGATCCTAGTACGGATACGGGTGCCGGATACGGCTAAAAATAATTCAAAAATATAAAAATATCTCTAAATTATGAGAATTTTTGTGGAATACTTACGTATAGCTTATAAAGTGTGGATTTCGTTTTTATTCTCAAGTTGTAGATAAGTAAAGGATTGATTTCCTAGATAAGGTATGCTATTTTCT